CTGCCCGCCGACACGGCCCGCCTCGCCCAGGAGCTGCACTGCCAGCTGGCCAGCTGCCTGCAGGACCTGCAGGCCGTCTACAGCATTGTCACCCAGAGGGCTCAGGGCAAGGATCCCAACCTCTCCCTGCTCCTGGGCATTCACTGTAAGTGTGCGGGGCGACGGCAGAACAAACCCTTTGGTTCCTGTGATGTGGCAGAGTTAAATAACTCACATAGAGCATGGAAGGTTCTTTCTGGGATTCTGAACCCTCCTCCTGTGGTTGGCTCGCTCTAAAGGCACGTGCTGTAGTAAAGAAACATTAAGCAGTGCCTCTTCTACAAATGTCTACTGGGTTTTTTGGGCTCTCTTGCAAATGTGTGTGATCCTGGGTCGGGATTGTGTGTGGGATAACTCCCTCCTCTGTCTCCACAGCTGTGCAGCACTCAGTGAAGGAGAAGGATGACCTGCTGAGTCCTGATGGACTTGCAAAGAAACTGGTGGAGGTAAAGCAGCTTCACAAAGAGGTGGAGGATTTAAGGACGGCGATATCTGACAGATACGCTCAGGACATGGGAGACAACTGCATCACCCAGTAAAGTACCCTCCCCACAGTAAGGCAGGAAAAGAAGACTTGAAACCCTCGGGAGTCTAGAGCTCCTACAACCCAAAACCTATTCAGCACTTTACCATCCCTATGCTCGGGTGCAAGACATGTGACTTATCCAATCTCTGAGGAATCGGGGGGTTGGTTTGTTGCCAGAAGTGTTTCACTGCTGACTGGCTAACTGGAATCGTTTGGGGCTTCCGTGTCAGGCTTTGCAGTAGCTTTGATCTTGTGGAATGTGTTTGTGCTGTGTTTGCTGGGGCTGGTGTGGTCTCTGATGCTGGGAGATGAATTTGGAATTGCCTTCCAGGCATGTCAAATGCTGAACATGCAAATGTGACAGTTAAAATTGTCACTAAAAGGAAATGTATACCGTAGTCTTTCTGATAAGTTCTCTGCTCAGATCCTGTGTGACTAGTAAGACCAGAGGATTATCAGTGTTCAGGGATGTGTGGACTACACAGGCAAGCAGGTCTTTCAATTATGCTGCTGCTAATTATGTTGGGGTGCTTCGGGCTCCACAGATGCCCTGTGCTCAGTTTGGGCTTGTGTAGCTGTTCACAGAGCAGGAAAGCAGGACAGGGAAACGCAACCAGAGTCTTCCAGCAGCCAACAGGAGTTAGGGAATAAAGCAACACTAAAAGACTCTGAAAACACTCCCCCTTGGGCACTGTTACCCCCAGAAGCCTTAAGCCTTTTATCCCCCCAAAATAGCTCTCTGAGCATGGGTATGATTCAGACTGCAAAGGAAGTGAATTGGTGCTGAAGTGCCTTAATGTGCTAGAGAAACCTTCTGTCCCCAGGCTGCTTAGTGCCTAATGCATCCGCTGGCAGGGCAGGGAACTGCTGTTCCATGTACCAGCCTTTAGAGCCATCACAAACAATTCCAGGGAACCTTGAATGCCCACCCTGAAGGAGGGTGGGACTTTTTTTAGTTGTCAGCTTTAAAGCAAGACATTAAGTCAGTTATCTAACAGGGAGGACAGCACTGCTGAAACTTCTGCTGTTTGGTTGCTCTTGGTTCATGCAGGGGCTGTGTGCCCTAGGTTTGGTTTTGTTATTTCTTTGTGTTAAAATTGAAGACCAAATGTGTTTTGTTCTTGGTGTGTGGCCACCACGGGTGATGGTGGCAACAGAGTGGTTGGTTTGCTGTCCCGAGCTACCCCCTGTGTGGCATGGGGAGGGAGAGCAGCAGTGTTTGTCAGGCAGCCAGCTCTCTCTGCATCCAGGGTGTTATGTTTCTGCCTGACTCTGTTCATGGGCTGAGCCAAATGTGGGCCAGGACTGTTTCCTGAAGTCGTGTGTCCTGGCTGCTGGGAGCTCTCTGTGCACTGGGGTGCAGAGCAGCACTGGCTGTGACAGTCACCATCTCCTGACGGTTTAGCACCAT